GGCCTTTCTTTCCCCCCCCCCCCCCCGTTACCCCCAGCAGTCGGAGGTCACAAAACACCAGTGGTCTCTTCTTCCAAACAGGTAAAAAAGATTTATTTCATGGACAGTAAAGAGCTCAGAAAATGTGTATAGAGAAAAATTAAGACCCTAACACACGGGTGCCCGCATGTCCTCATGCATGTACACTGCCTAGAAGTAAAGGGGTGGAGGATAAAATGTGTTAAAAAGGGAGAAATCCAATATAACTGGAATGGAAAAAGATACATTTTTTGGTTTGTGTGTAAAGCATAGATAAAGCACATAATCTCAATGACTGCTGCAGTGTCAGAACCTGAAGTCAACAATTCTTGTAACACAGCAGGACCACCATTTTCTGTACCTTTACTTTCTCATCTGTTTATTTGCATGTCAAATGAAATATGCCCATGGCTGAGCAGCTGACTGGCAAGTATCAGAAGCAGCCATCTACTCTGAGGGAAAGAGTAAATGCCCTGGGGAGAGAGATCATGCTCCATGCACCACAGGTCAAGACGATCTTCCTGAGGTGAAATGGTTTTCTCCGTAAGTTTTAAGAGATCAGGTGAAACAAAGAACTGTTCAAGTGGAACAAGTGGTGCTGGATTTGAAAAGGGCACTTTCTGCATATTGTTTTCCTGGCTATTAGTTATAGTGTTGGAACTAATATTGCTGTTTTGTTAGAATGAGCAACATGGCTCTTCCAAAATTGTGATTGTCAACATAACAGTATTAAAACAAAGAAGAAGCCATACTGGATCAGAATAGATTATTATGTTCCTGAAATGGCCAACCAGAGGTGGGACATGAGTGCAAAGCACCATACCTTTCTGGAAATTTCTTTACCTTAAAAAGTAGGGACATACAGACATCAGTGGTGAATCAATCAAAGTCTCTCTTTACTTAACAATGCAATGTAAGATGATCTCTCTTTTCCATATAAATAAATAAAAGCAAATAGTCAACAGCTACCTACCTTGGAGTCACCAACTCCTCACAAAAATTATATATCGGTCTCTAACCCCCGCTTCTCACAAATGAGAGGGGTTTGCTATTTAAGCCTCTCTCTTAAAGAAATAGTTTATGCTTACTACAAGGTATCACTGCCAAATATGTCTCTTATATAATGCTAGTGTGCAGCTCAAGGTATTCATCAGGAAACACATTCAAGAGTCAAAAGTGTTCCAGCATAATATATCCTGATCGAGGGGGAAGGCAGAGAACCAAAATTTTCAGTTGTAATTGCCACTCTAAGTCATCCACTTCAGTAAAGGGCACAAAAATAATTTATAGGAACCAGTAAAAGCTTCAGTGCCCGCAAACATGTCTAATTTCCTTCCAAACTCAATCAAATAAAACTTATCATTTACCAAGTTAACACTCCTCAAATCTGATAACTCCTTTGGCATGAGATTTTTCTTGGTGTTATGGGCTTTACAGTACCTCATAAGGATGAACACTATGATCCATAGCTGTGCATGTTTACTGCAGTATGCATGCTGTGTTATTTTTTCCAAAAGGGTCAGGGACGGATTCATTTGTGCTATTTGCAAATGGTACTCTGAGCACCCATAGTGAACCACTAAGCTAGGACACTTCACTCCATTCAAGGGCTTGCAGACAAACAAACAATAACAATTCTTTGCAAATATACAAGGCGTATGGGAGTGGTCAGATGATGTAACATATATCACATCAATGACAACAGCAAGTACAATTTCTCTCTGTGAAGCCACAGTGGATGAGACAGTAGCACATATTTCTTCGGAGAAAACGGGTGGCCATGCAATTTAAATCTTAGTATCTTCCATAGTGGCAAGTTCCACTGTTTTCAATGGAATGACTTGTATGCATTCAGGATCAGAATGCAACTTGGGCATATATAACTATATAATAGAACAAATCAGGCTAGAAAATGTGTTCAAAATCATTAATCATCATCATCATCATCATCATCATCATCATCATCATCATCATCATCTTATATAATGATGATGATGTGCTGTCAAGTTGTATCTGACATGCTGCTCCTACTAGGGTTTTCAAGGTATGCCAAATTATCTAAGGCATGATTTGAGTGGTGCCATAACCCAGTGAATTTCCATGGCAAAGTGAGAATTTGAACCTAGTTTTCCTGAATTCTAGACTATCACTCTATCCACTACAAAACACTGGCTTTCTTACAGTCCTTACAGTGGACCCTCTACTTACAGAATTAATCCGTATTGGAACGGTCACTGCAAGTCGAAAAGTCTGTAGGTCGAATCTCCATTGACCTACAATGCATTGAAAACCAATTAATCCCATAAGTGGCAGTTTTTATTCTATTTTTTTGTTCCACTTTGTTTTTTTCTGGTCTGTAAGTCGATTCTCTGGCGGCAAGTCGAATCTAAATTTTGCAGCCAGAGAAGTCTGTAACTCGAAAAGTCTGTAAGTTGAGCCGTCTGTAAGTCGAGGGTCCACTGTATTAGTCTATATATTTTTTTGATAATGAATACCGATTATACTTGTCATGCTGAGAAGGGTGATCAACTCTCCTGAAACCTGAAAGCACAGTTGTATGCAGCTCTTGAAGTCACAATTTCCATACCTTACTCTGCCAATTTTTTTTAACCTTGAGAAGTAGGTTATAAAATAATTACATACATTCTAATATACATAATACAATTGTTCTTGTTTGTTACTGATTTTTAAAAAATAAATTTCCCCTTTTCAAAGGTGTTTCATGAAAACTCTTCAAAAATAACAACTATTGCAGGATATCAATGCCTATATGAAACATCTGTGGCATAACAGAAAACAGAATCAAGTTTTCCACTCATCGCCTGCCTGAATGTTTCGCAGCAATTCATATTCACCATGTGAAGGGAACTGGAAAGATGTCAGTTTTTGAATTCTTCTCTAACTCGTACCATTCTGAGATCAGGGAATTCTCTGACATGTGTTAATCTATGTCAAGGGAATAACATGCCATATACTGTACAACATCAAAAATTTGTCAAGATTTTAGAACTACAAGTCTTCCAAATATCAAGAAAATCTTAAAATGAAACTATCATTTTAAGCAAGAAACCATTCCTTTATGATGATCATAAAGTCCCCCTCCCCCTCCCCATGTGGGACTTTATGGTCATTCATTGTATGTGTATGTATATATAATTTTGTTGGCTGTATATATAATGGCATTTAAAATCTATATTGTTTTGAAGCTAAGCATACGCCAGTATTTTCAGCATCTACAAATAAGCCTGTAAATTCACTATCAATATTTTCAACCTTAAATATTGTACAGAATTTTTCAATGTTAAATCTCCAGAGCATTAGACAGTATATTCTAGCAGCATCAAATATAGTAGTATGCTTGAAATTAAGGGGCAAATGTTAATCTCCTATGTTGCAGGCTGAGCAAAACAAAATTTATTAATGCAGCTATTAAACAGATTTTATGTAAAAGACAGAAAAGATTTAATTGCAAATTTTGTCCTAAACATGTTATAGCTGTTATGTAAATCCGATCACCTTTTCCTGCTTTTTTAGTTATGCAGCTGAAGCAGCCCCTCTGCATGTCTCTTATAGCATATTCTATCAGCAGATTTTGATAATTCCAGTGGGCTAGAATTAACCTGCCATTTTGACTTGTCCATTAAGAGAAAAGACCTCTAAGAACTACAGAATAAAAGGAGCTGAAAAACATCCTACCTTGCCAACATACTGATAGTCAGAGCCTGTGTACTCTTCTAAAAGAAAGAACTGATTCCACATCCAGCTTCTTTTGGAACGATGAAGCTCTTTCTTGCTATTTCTAGATAGATCCAAAATCTTAGTATTTACTAGAAAGCCACTAGTTCTTTTCGACAGTGATATAGAAGAACTTTGGTGAGGATGACCAATCCAGAAGAGGAGCCAGAAGCAATGATAAGTTCTCATCATGGCAATACGCAACAAGCCTGAAGTGGTGGTATCTTTCTTCACCTGAACACAAACTAATTTTCTGTGGCAAAGCCCGATCTCATTCCATGTTCTTCACTATGGATTTCTGAAATGAAAAAGAAACGACAATTTATCAAGTACATACAGGGTTACTTAGTATTCCCGGTATAATAGCAAATATGACAAAAGTAGGCAGGAAATTGCCTCAGAAAGAATCCTATTAGGCTCTCGGTTCGGAAATGTTGCAAGTGGCCCTCTATATAAACTGAATGGAATATCTCTATTGAGTAGGAGGAATAATAGCACTATTTACTTTGCTCTTTATTCCATTTACTTGAAAAATACTAGTCTGGGCAACTCGATTATTCCTTTGACTTTGTTCACAGTGATTCTATTTATTAGATCAAGAAAAAATTGCTGTTTTCAGTTGGGACACTTTTAAAGTGTGGTTATTATTAGGGACAATATGGCTAAGTGCTGCATAGCTGGCCTTCTTGCGTTTGTGCACACTATTCTCTGTAGAATTCTGCACATTTCTTGATTACACATAGATGCGCTGTTTCCCAGAAATTAAGACTTGACCTGAAAATAAGCCCTAGTATGATTTTTCAGGATGCTCATAATATAAGTCCTACCCCAAAAATAAGCCCCAGTTAAGTAAACCCCTGCTCTCCACCATTGTGCAGGGACCAGATGACATGATTGTATTTGAATAAAAGTAGATTGTTGTCCATGAAAAAAAAATCCCCTGAAAATAAGCCCTAATGGGGTTTTTTGAGCAAAACTTAATGTAAGACCCTGTCTTATTTTCAGGGAAACATGGTAGGCATAGATATTGCCTCTTGTACTGATTGATAGCAATAGTATTTTTGTGGGGGGAATCATTCAGAGATGGCTCCCATTTCCTGGGTTGTCTTTAAATAATGATATCAATTTAAAACAAAAGACACTAAAACTAAACAAAAGCAACATAAATTAACATGGCAAAATGGCCGATAGCAAGTGAATCAACCTCTCTGGTTAACAAAGCATATTCCAGCAGAGTTCCTGGAGACCAAATCTAATGCATCCCCCATTTCCTTGGGGAAGGACTGTATTTCAGTGGTGTAGAGTCCAGGCTTTCACTGCAAAAATTCCGAGCTCTGGTTAAAAAGGTAACAGAGACCCTGGGTAGACTCTGCTGGTCCAAGCATGCAATTCTGTACCATATGCACAAACAGCTTACGCAATATCAGTCTGTATACAACGTATTTCCCAGCATGGATAAAAATCTCCCTGCTATCTCCTTTGAGGGGACAGCAGGACAAGGAACAGGTAGGTCAGGCTGAGGAAATAAGATTGACCCACGGTCAAGTGAGAATTTTAACTTGGGCTTCCTAGTTTAGCATTCTGACCATTGTGTGACACTGGCATGCTTATTTGAGTTCTTATTTGAGTTCTGGAGATGGAATAGTGCACTTCATCACACTGGGGCAGCAAGTTAGTTTAGCATCCCTAGGACAGGTGATGACACACACAATTCTGTTCTCCAGCAGAGGGGGAAACAGCTGGAAAATTCAGGAGGAACAGCCAGAAGGCTCCAGTGGCTGCTGCTATTATCCTTTCCCTTTTTCTGAATAATCATCAATACATATTGTGTATGCCATTCTATTGAATCCAATTAAATCTATTTGGGATGTTTAAGGATAAGCAAAATTGTCTGGAAATGTGTTCCCTGTGGCCACAGACCTACTGGTGAAATAATTCACTTTTGAATCTAGATGAACAGTTATGGTAAGTTTGGCAGATAAAGAAGATGAGAGGAAACAAACATTTAAAACATCCATAGGGTGAAAAAATCCATTCTAAGGCCATTTCTTTCGAAATTTATCAGTCTTGGATTGCTTATCAGAACAGGAATAAGCTGGAGGATAGCATGAGATCAAAAATAGCAGCCATGGTATAATACTGCAACATTAAATTGTGCACAGTTAAATGTTGTGATAGCAACTTGGGTTTTGTGGTTTGATGCCTTTTCTTTGTAATTTTTCTTTGAATCAATGGGTGAGCAAAACTCTTTTCAAAAAAGGAAAGCAGGTATATCTAAATCTAAAAGGATGGATTTCCCCACCTAATGTTCTATACTGATGAGTTGCAAATACAATGTCAATGTTTATTAAAAAAAACCCTCATTATACATCTGCAAAGGAAATATTTAGTAGGAAACCGCATGCAGTGGGGTAATGAGCTTTAATAGTTACCAAACTGGCCCACAGTGGGCACAGAAACTGTGAAAATAAGCACTGCATTAGCAGAATATAGAAGGGTAGGGCTGTTCTGAGTATACAATGTCCTACCAATATGCTCCTGGTTCATTCTCCTGTCTCTGGGTAACCTTCACTCACCCATGAGATATTTGATAATGTTCCATTTTTAAACAGAACAATCAGCCACATAGAGCGTCTCAAACATTCCTTTTTTAACTGTTAGATTCCCCAACTACCTTCTTTTCAAACTTGGCAACATACTTCAAAACAGCATAAAAAGTATGGCTGCAGATCGGGCATTAGAGGTAAGGTAATTAGTGCCATGATGACCTCCCCCCACACCCCCGTTTGTCCTGTTCTCTACCAGCGAACAGTGTGCTTCTCATTATGTTTGCTCGGAATTCAAATATAGGAGACTGATGACAATGCAGTAGTTCTCACTCCATGCAACTGGTTCCTTTTTTATTGGGCAGGAAAACTCTGTGGGTAAGAGGCAGAACATATGAACCAATGTATTGTTCTGTCATTAGTACAGGCTCGATGTATTACACTGGCATGGGAGGAATAGAGGAAATCATCTTATCCTAGGTAACTCCACCATCCGTTTTCTTTCACTTACTCTTGTGGATGAAACCTGCAGCAACTCATTATCCCTGCACTAGATTCCTTTGGTCATGTCAGGGAAAGTCAAGGAAGACAGAGAGGCCGACCATTTAAAGTAACAACCCTTTAAATGTCAATTGCCAAAACACACACACATACACACAGACAGACAGACACACACAATTACTCCTGCAAGGGGGAACTGTTCTGCACTTCAGATTTGCTATTTTTCACAGCTCTGATGTCACAGGAGAGGTTTTACAGCACCTTGGGGTGAAATATGGCTTGCAAGGATGGTATCACAGCTGCTAAGCACATCTTCTTAATGTCTCCCCCAGCTATAATGTGTTACTGATAACTACAGCAGGGGAATCTTACCCTGAATCATTTTACCTAACTCTTCTTTGCTTGATCTCTTCTTCCTGGAGAAAGCCAGCAGCTTCATATACCCAAGCACCAACTTCGAAGCAGCCACAGTTCTGCTCTGCAGCACCTTATTGCTTTCCTCTCCCCACCCCCGAAACTACCACCTGAGATAGCTGACAATTGGCCTAATGGTAGGGCTGACCAAGGCTCAATCTGTAGATAGTGAATACCATTTGGGAGGAACAACATGTAAAGTACACACTCCATAATAACACCTGATGAATGGACAGAATTTGCTGAGAGTAGTTAAATGTATTTAAAACAGAAAATGGAGAACATTATGGGGATGAAGGGTATATGTTGAACAGCAAGAGATAATAAATTCTAATCTTCAAAAACAAGCCAACAAACCACCACCCTCTGTTTATGAATGTGGGATATTTTGCTTTTATATCCATGATTCAGAACACTAGGATATGGCCCAATATCGCTGCATAATATTGCACCCGCAATGCCAGCAGGAAAAAGGTTGCAAAACTTCACATAGCAAAAGAGCAGCCTGAATGTTGACAACACAAATACTAGCACTCAAGATGGTGTACAGCAGTAGTTCCCAACCTTGGTTAACCCAAGTGTTCTTGGGTTGCAACTCCCAGAAGCCTTCATGACCAGCTGTGCTCGCCAGTGCTTCTGGGAGTCACAGTCTAAGCACAACTGGGTATTCCAATGCTGGGAACCACTGGTCTACAGGGTATTCTCTTGTGCTCACTACTGTTTTTTCTATGCATTTTGATTACTTTGTGGCTTCATGCAACAGATGCATTGAAACCTTGTTGAAAAAAAGCCATCACAGTTGTTTTGTGTTTCGTTAGCTAATGAAAAAAGGAGTAAGGTTCTGGGATTTTCTCCCTGCTTGTTGTCCCTCTGTGAATGGTAAGTTGATAGGAAGTGTGGCAGAGGCAGGGGGACAGGAGGAAGAGAGTTAGCTAAAAGTCAGCTAATTGCATGACAGAAAAGGTCAAAAATTCAGATTGCCCAGATCTGGAGATGATTTTCCCCTTTGAAAACTTACGTGAGATGACTGTTAGGTTTCAGAAATCCTGAGAGGATGTTTACTGAAGATATGTGGCAAAATTATCCCACTTTCTGCAGAACTGTCACTCCATTACTTTCTTTAAAGCTTTTTTTTTACTCTTTAAAGAAAGCCTGTCTTTTCAGCCTGTTTCTGTGATATTTCTAAATATGTTCCCCGCTCCACCTATGAATTTCACTTTGTGGAGCTCCTGCTGGCTAGCCTGTACTAGACTTGCTCAGTCTTATAACAAAGCGATTGCTTCTCCCTTTTGAAAGGATCTTTTTTGAAGACTGATATTTTAGCCTCTGCAGCCTGGATTCTTTCCAAATAAAAAAGGGAGGTGGGGACAGACATTCTCTTTCTATTGCTCTTTTCAGTTCATGTGATCTATTTTAAATCTGGAGATGTTTAGCCTAGCCTATTTCTGAATGAAGGGTAATAGAGCTGTACTTTTAAAAAATTGTAATTCAAAAACCTTCCCACAAAATTGGCTCAGAGCAAGAGCAGAGTGTCTGCTACAACCATGCCAAATTTGGTGCTGTCTTGAAGCCTAGTTTAGAAGTTATAATTTTTTTTAGGGCTGCCCCCATTTTTAGAATTGTCTTATAGAATGCTGATTTGCTTTGCTAGCACAAGATTAATAAGAACTTTATATACTGTGTTTTCTTAAATATGAAGTTATAATGCTTCGGAGGATAGCTGAAGTGATTTTTTATGTTTCACATATAGCAAAACAGTCATCCATAATGAACTTGGTTTAAAATAGCAAATGAGCAGCTCCTAGATGGTTTTTCAAATTATGTTTCTTGCATCTAG